AAGTTATCTACCCGAGTAATATGTGATTTGATTAATACAAAAAGTATAACTTGCGTGTTGAAGAACCGGTGATTGCTGGCAGCTCCTACAATGACGAATGGTCGACCTCAACACTTGTTTATCAATCACTGTATCTAGCTTTTCTAGGCTTTTTCCGTCTCCACCACAATAAATGCTATGTTATCACTATAGTTGACTGGTGGATATTTTGGAGGAAGGACACTTTTTCTGTAGTAATATTTGCTTCTCGTTATGTATATTGCGACCGCTGGTAACTACAGCCTATATGAGATTCACAGTATACGACTGGTATTTCAAGAAAATAGAAAATAATGAAAGTCACTCCACTCCACTAAGTACTATTACAATACTGGTTAGTTGCTACTACAACACTGTATTCTGCTAATCACTGGTATCCCTAGATTATATGCGAGTACACTAGCCAGGAAGATTTAAAACAGCTGACCAGTGTGGTAAGTTTCTAGCGACTTCTGGCACCTGCCTCTATAGGCTTATCACTTCATTTACAAATTCACCTGTTTTCAAATGACACTTTAGCCTTTATTATCTATATACTATTATCTATACTAGGGAGCCACTGTAGTATACACTATACACTATGTATACACAATATTATCAGGGAGACTTTCTTTCCTCTGACAAAGAAAAGTTCTATTATTATTATTTTGCACACGGCACACTAGGCCTATTCCCCTCTGGCAGTAAACTCTGCTAGGTAGTGCACACTAATTCTCCTTTTTTGACTCAGTATATAATGTTTTCCGCCCAAGATTGGTTCCAGGCGCTAGAGGGATGTATCGTATAAGATTGATGGCACAAATTAAACTTCTAGCACGTAAGAGCGACCGTGAAAACACGAGAAAACACGGAGCACAACGAGGCACGCTGGCATGCTGGCACTTCAATACCTGGGCAGGGTTATCCATCTAGGATAACCTGGGAGGGTTAGCCACCTAGGATAACCTGTGGAGGGTTACCAATCTAGGATAACCTGGGGAGGGTTACCCATCTAGGATAACCTGGGAGGGTTACCCATCTAGGATAACCTGGGGAGGGTTAGCCACCTAGGATAACCTGGGAAGGGTTAGCCACCTAGGATAACCTGGGGAGGGTTACAAATCTAGGATAACCTGGGGAGGGTTAGCCATCTAAGATAACCTGGTGAGGGTTACCCATCTTGGATAACCTGGGGAGGGTTACCCATCTAGGATAACCTGGGGAGGGTTAGCCATCTAGGATAACCTGGGGAGGGTTACCCATCTAGGATAACCTGGGGAGGGTTACCCATCTAGGATAACCTGGGGAGGGTTAACAACCCAGGATAATCTGGGGAGGGTTAGCCACATAGGATAACCTGGTGAGGGTTAGCCACCTAGGCTAACATAGGGAGGGTTAGCCACCTAGGATAACCTGGGGAGGGTTAGCCACCTAGGATATCCTAGGGAGAGCTACCCACCTAGGATAACCTGGGAGGGTTTGGCACCCATGATAACCTGGGGAGGGTTAGCCACCTAGGATAACCCTGATGAGGGTTAGCCATCTAGGATTACCTTGGGAGGGTTAGCCACCCAGGATAACCTGGTTAGAGTTAGCCACCTATGATAACTTGGGGAGGGTTATCCTCCTAGGATAACCTGGGTAGGGCTAGCCACCTAGGATAATCTGGGGAGGGTTAGCCACCCAGGATAACCTGGGAAGGGTTAGTTACCCAGGATAACCTGGGAAGCATTAGCCACCTAGGCTAACCTAGGGAGGGTTAGCCACCTAGGATAACCTAGGGAGGGTTATCCACCTAGGATATCTTAGGGAGAGTTAGCCACCTAGGATAAACTGGGTAGGGTTAGCCATCCAGGATAACCTGGGGAGGGTTAACCACCTAGGTTAACCCTGAGAAGGGTTAGCCATCTAGGATTACCTGGGAAAAGGGTAGCCACCCAGGATAACCTAGGGAGGGTTAGCCACCTAGTATAACCTGGGGAGGGTTATCCTCCTAGGATAACCTGGGGATAGGTTAGCCACCTAGAAGAACCTGGGGAGGGTTAGTTACCCAGGATCACCTGTGGAGGATTAGCCACCTTAGATAACCAGGGGAAGGGTTAGCCACCTAGGATAACCTTAGTAGGGTTAGCCACCTAGGATAACCTGGGGAGGGTTAGCCACCTAGGATATCCTAGGGAGAGTTACCCACCTAGGATAACCTGGGGAGGATTAGCCACCTTGGATAACCTGGGGAAGGGTTAGCCACCTAGGATAACCTGGGGAGGGTTAGCCACTCAGGATAACCTGGGGAGGGTTAGCCACTCAGGATAACCTGGGAAGGATTAGGCACCTACAATAACCCAGGGAGGGTTAGTCATGTAGAATAACCTGGGAAATGTTAGCCACCTAGTATAACCTGGGAAGGGGTTAGCTACCTAGTATAACCTGGGGAGGGTTAGCCACCTAGGATAACCTGGGAAGGGTTAGCCACCTAGGATAACCTGGGGAGGGTTACCCACCTAGGATAACCTGGGGAGGGTTATCCATCTAGGATAACCTGGGGAGGGTTAGCCATCTAGGATAACCTGGGGAGGGTTACCCATCTAGGATAACCTGGGGAGGGTTACCCATCTAGGATAACCTGGGGAGGGTTAGCCACCCATGATAACCTGGGGAGGGTTAGCCACCTAGGATAACCCTGATGAGGGTTAGCCATCTAGGATTACCTGGGGAGGGTTAGCCACCCAGGATAACCTGGTTAGCATTAGCCACCTATGATAACTTAGGGAGGGTTATCCTCCTAGGATAACCTGGGTAGGGCTAGCCACCTAGGATAACCTGGGGAGGGTTAGCCACCCAGGATAACCTGGGAAGGATTAGCCACCTAGGCTAACCTAGGGAGGGTTATCCACCTAGGATATCCTAGGGAGAGTTACCCACCTAGGATAACCTGGGTAGGGTTAGCCATCTAGGATTACCTGGGGAGGGTTAGCCACCCAGGATAACCTGGGGAGGGTTAGCCACCTATGATAACCTGGGGAGGGTTATCCTCCTAGGATAACCTGGGTAGGGTTAGCCAACTAGGATAACCTGGGGAGGGTTAGCCACCCAGGATAACCTGGTAAGGGTTAGTTACCCAGGATAACCTGGGAAGGGTTAGCCACCTAGGCTAACCTAAGGAGGGTTAGCCACCTAGGATAACCTAGGGAGTGTTATCCACCTAGGATATCCTAGGGAGAGTTACCCATCTAGGATAACCTGGGTAGGGTTAGCCATCCAGGATAACCTGGGGAGGGTTAACCACCTAGGTTAACCCTGAGAAGGGTTAGCCATCTAGGATTAAATGGGAAAAACGATAGCCACCCAGGATAACCTGGGGAGGGTGAACCATCTAGGATAACCCTGGGGCGGGTTAGCCATCTAGGATAACCTGGGAAAGGTTAGCCACCCAGGATAACCTGGGGAGGGTTAGCCACCTATGATAACCTGGGGAGGGTTGTGCAAGAAAGGTATAAAATACCGACAATATGAAAGTTAAGACACATGTGCAACATCTGGTTATCTTTACTGTAGACGTTTCGCCATCCAGTGACTTGATCAATACAGATTCCAGGACATAATGTCCTAGAATCTGTATTGATAAAGCCACTGGATGGCGAAACGTCTACAATAAAGATATCCAGATGTTGCACGTGTCTTAACTGGGGAGGGTTATCCTCCTGGGATAACCTGGGGATTGATTAGCCACCAAGGATAACCCAGAGAGGGTTAGCCACCCAGGATATCCTGGGGAGGGTTAGCCACCTAGGATAACCTAGGGAGGCTTAGCCACCTAGGATAACCTAGGGAGGGTTAGCCACCTAGGATAACCTAGGGAGAGTTACCCACCTAGGATAATCTGGGGAGGGTTAGCCACCCAGGATAACCTGGGGAGGGTTATCCACACAGGATAACCTGTGGGGGGTTAGCCACCCAGGATAACCTAGGGAGGGTTAGCCACCTAGGATAACCTGGGAAGGGTTAGCCATCTAGGATTACCTGGGGAAGGGTTAACCACCCAGGATAACCTAGGGAGGGTTAGCCACCTAGGATAACCTGGGGAGGGTTATCCTCCTAGGATAACCTGGGGACAGGTTAGCCACCTAGAAGAACCTGGGGTGGGTTAGCCACCCAGTATATCCTGGGGAGGGTTAGTTACCCAGGATCACCTGGGGATGATTAGCCACCTTGGATAACCTGGGGAAGGGTTAGCCACCTAGGATAACCTGGGGAGGGTTAGCCACTCAGGATAACCTGGGAAGGATTAGGCACCTACAATAACCCAGGGAGGGCTAGTCATGTAGAATAACCTGGGAAATGTTAGCCACCTAGTATCACCTGGGAAGGGGTTAGCTACAAGGATAGCCTGGGGAGGGTTAGCCACCAGGGTAACTTGGGGAAGTGTTACCCACGTAGGATAACTGCAGAGGGTTAGCCACCAGGATATCCTGGTGGAGGATTAGCCACCTATGATAACCCAGGGGGGAGTTAGCCACCCATTGTGATGCAGGGGGGGTTAGTCACCTGGGATTACCTGGGGAAGGTTTTCATCCAGGATACCTGGGGAGGGTTAACCACCCTCCACAGGTTATCCTGGGAGGTTGGCTGTCATTATGAGTGCTTGTTGTGGAGATATCATGTTGATCCACATATGGTGGAGATTATTGTTGGTTTAGTTATAGAGGGTAGTAGCAAGCAGTTGTTCATAGTGTTTGTGAAATCAGTTACTGGAGGATCAGTTGCTTGGATGAGGTTTATGTTGAAGTCTTATATAGCTATCAGCTGGTATTTATTGAACTTTGAATCCATTATCATGTTTCTAAGGTTACCACTGAAAGTGTACGGATTTGTGTGTGGTAATCTGTAGACTGCTCCAACTGTTATAAGTTTTATGATATGAATTTAGCGATTATACATTCACCACTGTCATCCCATGTACAAGTAAATTTCATACATTCCAGCTCATCAGAGTAGTAGATGGCCTCCTCCTAGATGGTCAGGCCTGCAGTTGTGCGGCTGTTTAACCAGGTATGTTAAATAGTGTGTCACATCTTGTTTGAGCCAGGTTTCATTTTGAATAATCAGAGTTATAGTAGTGTTTAGAGGTTTAATGAGCATTTAATGTTGTATGTATTTAATAGGCACAGTAATATGAATGCATATTTTGTAATTTAAGTAAGTTCCAACTCTTCAAGAGTTGGGGAACAGGGTGTTGTCTGGCACAGGAGTTGGTGATAGTCTGCACAACAGCTTTTTGTTGGGTTATTAGTGGTTTAAAATGATTTCTTTTGGTAGCTCTCCAGGCACATATATCATAGATGAGGTATGCATAGATTATAGACTTGTATAATAAACCATACCCCGGCTGGATTGAACCCGCGGTCAGAGAGTCTCAAAACTCCAGCCCGTCGCGTATAGTGTAAGAAGTGTTGTTTGGAGTACATAGTTCTTTGTCTTGGAGAGGATGCCTACTATTTTGGGAACCTTGATTATGTGCTGGATGTGAGTATTAAATTTCAAATTGCAGTCAAGGTGTAGACCTAATAAACTGCCATTAGTGTGTTTTGTAATGAGAGAACTGTTGATCAGTATGTTAAAATGGACAATGCCCAGAGTCAACAGACTTAATCTGTTTCCTCGATATTCTCCGCCCACACATTTTTTTCATTAATGTAAGTTTTGCATCAGACTTTGCATTTTGTTTTTTCAGGAAAAAATTCTCTACCATTTTAGAAGACACAGTATATGTTTATTTTTTTTTCTCTGAGATCACAGGAGTGATAAAATAATTAAATTTGAAATCTGTTAAATTTAAGGTTTGTTGTATTATGTTAAGAAGTGAGATACTACCTTCCTGTCAGGTAACTGTGAAACAGAAACCTGTAACTGTTTTACACGATGGTAGGATTGCGGGAGTCTTTTTTCTGTCTCATGAACACACTGGATAATAGGTATATCTTGCTACTTCTACTTACACTTAGGTCACACTACAATTCAAAGTTTTTTCTCTATAAGGATTACAATGCTGAGTTTACAGAATTTGGTTATTGTGTGGTTTACATGTAGTAAAATAATAATTACAGAGTGTACCACTAGAACACCTAGCATGGCTAGGCATTTCGAGCAGACTTAGATTAAATCTTAAGTTTAAAATATTACAAAATTATGAGGTAAGTTGGTATTATGGCTAAGTGACTAAATACTAGTTTGTGAGTTTAGCAATGTGAATGCTCTTTTGTTTTGGCACTATACATAGTTTCAGTATTGGAGTATCACAGGCCAACTTATTGACTAGTTAAGATTCATTATTTTGAGATTGAGATTGATATTTTGTTTATGGTCAAATGGGTGAGTGAGTGTAAGTGTTAACTACCAGGTTGTATTCATGTAATTAGTTGACAGGGTGTAGCAGGGAGATAAGATGTTTTCTGATGGTAGTTTTGAAGGTGATGAATGTGTCTGCAGTTTTAGCATTTTCAGGTAGGGTGTTCCAGATTTTAGGGCCTTTGACATACATTGAATTTTTGTAAAGGTTTAGTCGGACACAGGGAATGTCATAGAGATGTTTGTGTCTGGTGTTTTGCCATTGGGTTCTGTCACAACTATCAAGAAAGCATTTTAGGTCAAGGTTAATATTGGAATTTAAGGTCCTGTAGATGTAGATTGCACAGTAGTAAGTGTGGATGTACTGAACAGGGAGTAAGTTTAGATCTATGAAGAATGGGGGGGTGTGTTGCCAGGGATGGGATTTAGTGATTATTGTTACTGTGGCTTTTTGTTGGGTTATTATTGGCTTTAGGTGTGTTGCTGCAGTTGAACCCCAAGCACAGATAGCATAGGTGAGGTATGGATATGTAAGTGAATGGTATAGTGTGAGAAGGGCAGTTTGCGGCACGTAGTATCGTATCTTGGAGAGGATCCCAACCATTTTGGATACTTTTTTGGTTATGTTGGATATGGGTGCTGAAGTTCAGGTTGTTGTCGAGGTATAGGCCTAGGAATTTGCCCTCATTATGCCTGGCAATTAGAGTGTTGTTGATCTTAATGTTAATTTGCGCATCTCCTGCTCTGCTACCAAACATAATGTAGTAGGTTTTGTCAGTGTTAAGAGTAAGTTTATTGGCTGTCATCCAAGTCGATATTTTGATCAGCTCCTCATTAACAATGGTGTTGAGGGTGGCAAGATTAGGGTGAGAGATGACGTAAGTCGTGTCGTCAGCAAAGAGAATGGGGTTCAGGTGTTGAGATACGTTTGGAAGATCATTGATGTATATGAGGAAGAGCAGGGGACCAAGGACACTTCCCTGCAGAACTCCAGTATCAAGTGGCTGTGTTGTTGATGCTGTGTCTTTAGTGGTGACATACTGATACCTATTAGTAAGGTTATTTATTTTTTTTTATTATCACACCGGCCGATTCCCACCAAGGCAGGGTGGCCCGAAAAAGAAAAACTTTCACCATCATTCACTCCATCACTGTCTTGCCAGAAGGGTGCTTTACACTACAGTTTTTAAACTGCAACATTAACACCCCTCCTTCAGAGTGCAGGCACTGTACTTCCCATCTCCAGGACTCAAGTCCGGCCTGCCGGTTTCCCTGAATCCCTTCATAAATGTTACTTTGCTCACACTCCAACAGCACGTCAAGTATTAAAAACCATTTGTCTCCATTCACTCCTATCAAACACGCTCACGCATGCCTGCTGGAAGTCCAAGCCCCTCGCACACAAAACCTCCTTTACCCCCTCCCTCCAACCCTTCCTAGGCCGACCCCTACCCCGCCTTCCTTCCACTACAGACTGATACACTCTTGAAGTCATTCTGTTTCGCTCCATTCTCTCTACATGTCCGAACCACCTCAACAACCCTTCCTCAGCCCTCTGGACAACAGTTTTGGTAATCCCGCACCTCCTCCTAACTTCCAAAACTACGAATTCTCTGCATTATATTCACACCACACATTGCCCTCAGACATGACATCTCCACTGCCTCCAGCCTTCTCCTCGCTGCAACATTCATCACCCACGCTTCACACCCATATAAGAGCGTTGGTAAAACTATACTCTCATACATTCCCCTCTTTGCCTCCAAGGACAAAGTTCTTTGTTTCCACAGACTCCTAAGTGCACCACTCACTCTTTTTCCCTCATCAATTCTATGATTCACCTCATCTTTCATAGACCCATCCGCTGACCACGTCCACTCCCAAATATCTGAATACGTTCACCTCCTCCATACTCTCTCCCTCCAATCTGATATTCAATCTTTCATCACCTAATCTTTTTGTTATCCTCATAACCTTACTCTTTCCTGTATTCACCTTTAATTTTCTTCTTTTGCACACCCTACCAAATTCATCCACCAATCTCTGCAACTTCTCTTCAGAATCTCCCAAGAGCACAGTGTCATCAGCAAAGAGCAGCTGTGACAACTCCCACTTTGTGTGTGATTCTTTATCTTTTAACTCCACGCCTCTTGCCAAGACCCTCGCATTTACTTCTCTTACAACCCCATCTATAAATATATTAAACAACCACGGTGACATCACACATCCTTGTCTAAGGCCTACTTTTACTGGGAAAAAATTTCCCTCTTTCCTACATACTCTAACTTGAGCCTCACTATCCTCGTAAAAAACTCTTCACTGCTTTCAGTAACCTACCTCCTACACCATACACTTGCAACATCTGCCACATTGCCCCCCTATCCCACCCTGTCATACGCCTTTTTCCAAATCCATAAATGCCACAAAGACCTCTTTAGCCTTATCTAAATACTGTTCACTTATATGTTTCACTGTAAACACCTGGTCCACACACCCCCTACCTTTCCTAAAGCCTCCTTGTTCATCTGCTATCCTATTCTCCGTCTTACTCTTAATTCTTTCAATTATAACTCTACCATACACTTTACCAGGTACACTCAACAGACTTATCCCCCTATAATTTTTGCACTCTCTTTTATCCCCTTTGCCTTTATACAAAGGAACTATGCATGCTCTCTGCCAATCCCTAGGTACCTTACCCTCTTCCATACATTTATTAAATAATTGCACCAACCACTCCAAAACTATATCCCCACCTGCTTTTAACATTTCTATCTTTATCCCATCAATCCCGGCTGCCTTACCCCCTTTCATTTTACCTACTGCCTCACGAACTTCCCCCACACTCACAACTGGCTCTTCCTCACTCCTACAAGATGTTTATTCCTCCTTGCCCTATACACGAAATCACAGCTTCCCTATCTTCATCAACATTTAACAATTCCTCAAAATATTCCTTCCATCTTCCCAATACCTCTAACCTCCATTTAATAACTCTCCTCTCCTATTTTTAACTGACAAATCCATTTGTTCTCTAGCTTTCTTAACTTGTTAATCTCACTCCAAAACTTTTTCTTATTTTCAACAAAATTTGTTGATAACATCTCACCCACTCTCTCATTTGCTCTCTTTTACATTGCTTCCCCACTCTCTTAACTTCTCTCTTTTTCTATATATTTTCCCCCCTTGCATCACTTTACTTTGTAAAAATTCTAAGCTAATTTTTTCTCCTTACTACTCTCTTTAAATCATATTCCCCCAAATTGCCCCTCTTCCTCTGCACCCACTTTCCTGTAACCCCAAATTTGGGAACACTCTAAAACTACATTTTTTAAAACCCCCCAACCTCTTCGACCCCCTTGCCTATGCTCTCATTAGCCCTCTTCCCATGCTGTTTATATCTTCCCAAATGCCCCCTTTTTAGTTTTATAAACCCCACCTCTCTCTTCCCCGATGCTTCTATTTCCTTGTATCCCCTTTTTCCTTTTTCTCTCAGTGTAGTACAACAGAAAGTGATTTTTTACGTGGCCCTCTTAAACTGTCATCCCGAACTACTCAAAAGTCTTTTATCTCCCAAACTAATCCAACAAAATACTGCATTTTGCCCTACATCATATCGTGTATACTTTTTTTACCCCTTTTTCTTAAATATGTTTTCCCATAACTAAACCCCTTTCTTACAAAGTCAACAAAGGGCTCCTTAT